TTTTAGTTGCATCAGAAGCAATGTACAGGAAAGTTCCTGTTTATAGTATGATTATAAACTAGTTAAAGCAATTTCTCATTCATTTCACAAATAGTCGAACATATCTGTTCTAGTTACTGGAAGTACAGGTATGAACAAAAGAGGTTCATTTGAACTAGTTGTAATTCTCTAACTTGAAAATCATGTGCTGACTGGAAGATAATATATAAACTTCTGCCTATTGATCCAGAGCAGAAACATTTAATTTTTTGTTCTTAAAAAATCGAATCAGCAAGTTTTAAATGAATGGAAATAGCATGAATCACCATTTTAAAGTAATTATGGCCCCCAATTGCACCTAATTTCCTTATTTTTGGTGTAGTTTTAAAAGTTTTTTAACTTGGAATATTAATATTTTTTTGTTTTGATTCTTTAACAGGTTTCTAAGCATGAGTGAGGAACAGAAGAAGCAGAGCAGATGATCGGAGCAGCCTTTGTTTCTCCCCAAATCTAGAAATTTTAGTTCATATGTACACTAGCCAGTGGTTGTGGACAACCATTTACTTGATGTAAAGAACTTATTTCAGTATAAACTGGCTCTGGGCAGCATTGGCGATGCTGTGTCCTGAGTTGTAGCGCTGTAATTGTGAATATTAACTGAGATAGTGAAACATGGTGTCCAGTTTTCTATTGCATTTTTTCAAGTGGAAAAGTTAACTAAATGGTTGACACACAAATTGGTGGAGAAATTGTGCATATGCCAATTTTTTGTTAAAACCTTTTATTTTGAACTATACTGCTTTGAGATCTTATTTCAGAAGAACGGCATGAACAGTCTTCGGCCACAGTTGTGACGGTTGTAAATGCTCACAATTGTGCGTCTTAGGGTTTATCCATCCCTGGGGTTTGCAAGTTGTTCACTTAAAACATTCTTTAAATGGTTGGCTTCTTATTTGTAAGCCAGCTGATATGGTAGCAACCAAAGATTCCAGTGTTTGAGCATATGAAAGACTCTGCCTGCTTACCTGTGCTAGAAATAACAGCATCTAAAGTGAAGACTTAAGAAAAACTTAGCGACTACTAGATTATCCTTAGGACTCTGCATTAACTCTATAATGTTCTTGGTATTAAAAACAAAAGCATATTTGTCACAAATTTAGTTAACATCTTACAACTGAATATGTATGTATGTTGCTTAGATAAATGTAATCACTGTAAACATCTATATGATCTGGGATTTTGTTTTTATTTTGAAATGGGAACTTTTTTGTTTACAAGTTCATTAAAAACTAAAAACTGTTTCTGTAAGGAAATGAGATTTTTTTTTAAACAACAAAAATGCCTTGCTGACTCACTGAAATCAAAATTGCCCCAGTTTTTTAATAGACTACTTCAAGCCATTTGTTACATATGATTCCTTTGCAAATCATTTTAGATTTAGTGTTTTGACTTGTCCATTTTTTATTTAAAGAGTTGTGGTTTTTTGTTGTTGTTGTTGTTGTTGTTTTCATCCTAAGGGGAAAGGCATTCTGTGATTTTTTTTTTAATGACTTGTAGGTACAATACCTGGAACTGCAGATGCCAAGACTTGGTATTGTAATTCTTACCACTGCAGACTAACCGCTGGACTGATTTTGAATAAGAATGAAAGCTTTAAAGGGTTTGACTATAAAATGAAGTTTTTCTTCAAATTCCTAGTTAATTGGCTTTGAACATATTTCCTTATCCAGAGAACATCACACCACTTGAGTTTTAATTTGAGGGTGAACCCTCCCCACTTCACCCATTTCTGTTCTATAATTTGTCAGAGCTTCCCCTCTCAATTTTAAATGCACCTTTTCTTTTTTTGATCTAAGAGGAAGATAAGCTTATTGACAATAAGTCCCCTGGAGTAGTATAATTTATTCATTTATAACATGTCAGGATAAATTTAAAAGAACCTCTGTCTGAAAATGCTGCCGGAGCCTATTGTGTAAATGTAGGTATTTTGTAAAATAACCTTGAAACTGTAAATTGACACGTTTGGTTCAGATAGTGTCCAGTTTGATTTTTTTTTTTTTAATCTGAAGCCTACTTTAGCAATAATTAATTCCATGATTACCACAATCTGCCATTAAAGGATATATTCTCATCCGTCATACTGCAGAAATCTTAATGAGTATGAATATTGGGGGTAGGCAGCTTCTTTGTTTCTTTTCTATCCACTCATGTCAGTTAAGGTATTTGTTTCTTGACTAATAAACCCTTTGATACTTTTAGCCAGAAATCAGTCTCATAAAGCTATTTTTGAGTATAGTTTGTGTAAAATAAAAACGTTTGGCTTTGGTAATAACTTTTCCAAGCTGAACTCCCTCTAGCAAGATATTTTTCAGTGCTTTTATTTACTATGCACTTAGACTATGCACTTTTTCTGAAATATTTTTGTAACACTTAACTTTTTTGTATTTTTGCCATTTGAAAAGGTTGTGGTGTAGTTGGTCTGTAATTCAGTTGCAGATTTAAAACTGTTAGCTTTGTAAATCAAAATAGGTGTTCTTGTCGTGTGGTATATCTTCATCTGCAGCTGGAGCTGGAATCCCATTGATCTTCTAGCTACCATTCATTTTCTTCACAGTTCACAAAAGAAGAATGAAATTGAGTGAATGATGTTACTAATCCTGTCGGGAGATGAATCTCATTCCACCAAAATTAAATTATGTTTTTCCACTAAAATGATGACACAAGTTGAAGACATCACTGAAATTGGAAGACCTCACCACTTTAAGGCTCCACAGTGGCTTACTCAGCTGAACTCTAGGTTACTTAACTACTCTTTACTTTGTTCACCCATTGGGGGGTGCAGTTTTTTTAAATGTTGGGAGATGGCCATTCTAACTACTGTTGAATGTCTGTTTTGGGAAGGTATATCAAGAAAATAAAAAAGAATATATATGAAGGGAGAGACTGGTTATCTCCTCCCATATGGTTGTGCTCATGCTCTTATGGCCTACAAATGGGATTTTTGGAGGTTTGCTTTTACTAATACTAAGTTTTTTTCTGTGTCTACTAGTCCTTGCAGTTTTGTTAAATGTTTCAAGCAGAGTATATGTAAACAATTACAAACTTAATTCCATTGTAATAAAAAGTCCCAAACAAGGATTTTATAACCCACGCCAATGAGCCAGTTTTCCCTAGAACTTGAAATACCAAGAATAGGTTCTTATGACTTGACTAGAAGGAAGCATGAGATTCTGAGAGACGTTGGCCTATACATTCTTAGTACCTGAAAATTCAGCCATAGGCTGTAGCTAAATTGACTCTGAGCCAAATGAGTATGTGGCAGTACTGTGGCTCAGATATACTGTCTTGAAGACCCCCCTTGAGCCACATTAACTGTTGGTCATATTATTTGGGGATTTTACTTTCTCCTCTCAAGTATGTTTGTTGATGACAGATTATTTGGTATACTTGCAGACTTCCAGGAATCAAGTTTAAGTCTGATTGGGATGATACAGTCTATATTAATCATACCTGAGTGTATTGAAGTACAGTGATAATGTTTCAGAAGCGACTTGGTTAAACCAGTTGTGAGGACATACACAAAGGACTATGAAAGTGGTGAGCAACCGCAGAGCTGTTAGAAAAACCAGCTTTCCAAAAATGGCTCAAGTTGGTCAAATGCATTGTATCTACTGGTTGAGGCTAGAATGCTGCAGTAAGAATGCAGAATCAGTTTTAAGAGCACTCTTGGGAATTCTTTGGTCTCTGCACCTTTTTAGCCTGATGGAGTGAATTGGTTCATTCTGTCTTGCCATTACCAAACTGGTCCCTGAAAGGGACATTTTTGAGGAACTTCTCACCTAATTTATGAGAAGCATGTAATAAATAATATGGTAAGTATTGGGAGTAATATCCAATAACTGGAAGTGGAAAAAGGGCTTCAAAGGTCAGTAGGCCCTCAGCAAAGCAGCCAGCCAGAACACTTAAGTCAGTTATAGTTTAGACAGGATTTTCTGTTTTCACCTCCCCATTTTCAGTTTCCTCGTGCATTTTTTTCCCCCCACAATACAGGAGTTCTTCCTTTGGGTGTGGTCATCCACCGTTAAAGCACCCATAGTTATCCAGCATATTCCGCTGTGCTTTCCTTCCCTGCTGGCTTTTTTACACCCCCTCGCCTACTGACTATTTCAGTTAAGTTACTTGTTTTTCATAGGTAAATGTTTGCGTACAAAACATTTAAAGAAAATCATGCCTATTTTGGCATCACAGCACATTGCAAATGGGTTCTAAACTGTCAGCTACCTATAAGGACTTGGAAGGTGGCCAAGACAGTTCCCTGTAACAGCTCTTGGTGGTATTGGTTCAGTCCTTAGCACACTGCCCATTGCTATAGTAAGCATTTGGATGCCGTAAGACCAAGGTGGTCATCTTGATCTTGGGTGGTTTCGAGTTTTGGAGAAGAACTTAGAAATCGAGGCAAATGTGGAAGTAGATTTCTTAGATGGAGAGTAGCAAGTGAAAAAGTTAAGACTGGGTATGACAAGACAAAATGGCTGAAGAGCAGTTGAAGAGAGGAGAACAATAAAGTAAGCCCTGGATGATGTCAAAGTGCTGAATGAAAAGGATTTGGAGGCCTTAAGAGTCCCAAGTATTGACCTTTAGAGCCCATTTGAATATAGACAGCTGTTGGGGAGGGTAAGATCATGTGTAGTGAGAAGAGGAAAGGCCTACCCTGTAGATTATGCCTGTTCTATAAAAATTGTGGAAAATACAAATGTGTTTGCTGAGGTGGCGAATCATGGTTGGGTTTTTGTCTACATTTCTCAATGTCAAAAATACTAGCGATCGGTTAATATCTAAAAAACTTGGTCAATGAACAAATTTCCCATTTAATCTGATGACATGATCATGGTTCAGAAAACAAACGAGCTTAATAGTAAATTGAGTCAGTACCTTTAGAACCTGTTTTCTCTTGATAACAAACACATGGCACTGTTAGGAAAGACACACCTTTTAATATAGTTTTATTTCATCTGGTATCAAATTGTACAAGATCCAACACACTTATTACTGTGCTTAGTTGGTCTAATTTGGAACAGTTCCTCACCCTTTGTTTTCATGGTTTTGGTGTTGTGTGAGACCATGTAATGTTCCATTTGTTTCCCAGTTGTTTACTGTGACCTAGAATCTAATAATCACAGGAATGAGCACACCTAGTGTTCAAATCTTGATTGCTAAGTACAGAAAGGAATGGCGGCTTCTTGGAAAAATGGCTGACTTCAGGGCTGGGTTAGAAAAAAGCACAAGATCAATATAGGACGTGATGTGCCATGAATCCTAAAAGTGGTGGTGCATGTCAAGAATACAAGGGCTGGGCCCTCCCTCGTGGCCAGCGGATAAGGATGCAGCAGTGCAAGTGGGCCGTAGCCACTTCAGTGTCAGTTTGATCCTGGGCCCCTGAGCTGACCCACATGACCGCAGCAGACCTCTCCTGGCCTGCCTTCCGCTCCCCTCAGCAGTGTACTTTGTTGATCTGCCTGTTCTGCTTCCCACTCTTGTCTGGTGAATCCTTTCACTGCCCCTGCACCTCTGGCCTGTGCCCCAGCTTGGTATGCATAAGTAAATCTTAAAAAAAAAAAATTTACAAGAGCCACTTAAAAGGTTCTTTAATGGCCAAATCTTCAATCACATGAAAATGATAGCAACCTAATTCACAGTAAGAATCATGTTTTCTATATAGAAACCAAAAAATGGGGAGAAAGGGAAGCTTTTTAGAATATCAGCTTAAAAGTAAAAGGAATAATGCATTAGAAAAGTAACTACGTTATTAAAAACAAGTGCAAAGTTGATGAACAGAGCATTTCATTGTCAGTATTTCCATACATGTTGCTTACTGAGGGACTTGTCTCAAAAGAAATCCGGCCTGAACAATGTTATTTTTCTACATCAAAATGCATAGTGTTATTGACTTGAACATTGACTACAGAGTCCTGAATCCACCAAGAAAATATATACAGTCGATGGCATTTAAATCAGCACCTTCGAAAAAAATTTTTTTAAAAAATGTTTTTGAGGAATTTTAAATGTTATAGCTTAGGTCAGTCTTCATTCTGTAGGGCCTGTTCCTGTTCCCCTGCTTATCTCTCTTCCCCCTTGGTTCCACTGAGCAATCCGCTGGGTGATGCTGAAAGACCATGGCACTGTTCTCCAGCAGCACACCCCTGTATGAAATCCTTTGAGGAGGCCCCAAAGCTGGTCCAGTCCTCTGCATTACTTAACCACAGCCTCAAAAGGCATTGATAACTGGAGCCAGGGTGTGGAGACATGCTATCACCATAAAGACCTCCCTCTTTGATCCTATTTTGGGGGAAAGGTAGACATCTCAGGAGCTTGGGTTCTGGGGGGCCCTGCAGCAAACCAGAGAATAGGTTTTGGGTGCCACTTGCCAGTCCTCACAAACCAAGCGCTCATGTTAAAGGCAACCATGGTGGCCTGACCAAAATATTCTTAACGTCTTTTGGTCCTCACTCTCTGCTGAAAAGGTAGTAAGAACATGCCCATCTTAAATGATCTTAAGTTTCATAGTATATCTTCAAAAATTAAGGAATTTAAATCCAAATAACTTTTTAATGTCTTCAAAATTCTTAAGTACATCATCTCAACCTTGTAGCAATCATGAAAACGTACTTTGCCCACTTCAAAGAACTGAAGTGCAGAACACCCAAGGTTGTACAGCTTTTGTCAGTCACACAGCACTGGGACTGAAATTTTATTTTCCTTTGTCACCACCTTAAAACCAGAGACTGTTAATCATGGTTGAGTGCTATTCTCAGATACATTTTGAAGTGCTTACATGTATTGATTTCCAATCCTCATGGCTTTCCTTGAGCTAAGTCCCAGCTCCATTTTACATTTGAGGATATGGAAATCCTATGTTGGAATAAGTAGTTGTGTTCTCTTAGCTTCATCACATTTACCGTTTTTTAACATTTCCATTTTTTAGATTTGTTTATGTATGTATACAAGCTGGGGTGCAGGTCAGAGGGTGAGAAGAGTCACCAAAGAGTATGATTCAGCAGAGACAGGGCGGGGAACAGAACAGGCAGATAGATTGAAATACTCTGCTGAGTGGAGCAGTGGGTGGGCCAGGAAAGGTCTGCTGGACCATGTGGGTCACCTCCCTGACCAAGGATCAAACTCAGGCCGTAATGGTGATAATGCTGAGACTTAACACCTAGGCCACCATGGAGGCCCTTAACTCACAAATTTAAAAAGGACTGATCACTTTACTGGCCAGCTTGGGCAGTCACCTGAGTGCACAAAGCGCCGCTTGCTTTATGGCATATTTCCATTTTGTTTCCTGTCCTTGGAGGAAAGGTCATCCCCCTCTTCTTTCTTTCTTTTTTTTTTTTTTATTGAATTTGGAAAGTAAATAACTACAGCAGCATCTCAACAAACATCTATTTTATACTACTAAAGTGTGAAATTACTGGTCATACCTTGCTGGGGAAAGACCAGGAGAACAGCATTTAGGGTAACTGACTCAAGTAAATAAATAAAACTTAAACTTGCCTTCTGCTAATATTAAGAAGTCTGGGCAACTTATTTTTGCTTGTGATTGTAAATCTCACTTACACTTTGGCAGCATTTCCATGTACAAGGTTCTGATCCTCTAGGGTATATGGGAGTTTTTCCTTTCCCAGCCCCACAGCATTTTACAGCTGTTATGTCCTGTAGAAAGTCCACACTCTGAAAAGGTCCCTTTACTGAACATGACCATATTAAGTCTGCAATGTTACTGATTCAGAGAAGTAGAAATACTTTAACTATTTGAAACAATATCTGAGATACCAGGCAGCTTTCCCTGGCACTCTGCCAAAGAGGCACAAATCTTGGTGGTGATGAAGTATTGCATTTGATATTTAAGATTGGAAGAAAGGGGGGAGGTGGGTATTTTTAGACACTGCTCTCAACAGTTGCTAAGTAAATATTTTTTATTAATTGCAGAACTGGTTTCCACCATGCTAACATCATGTGATTCCATTAAGTGTAATGTTTTGATCTAGATTTAGACACAGAGCTAATTAGATGGAGAGTGTGGCCACCAAAAAGTGTGAAAATGAATACTTTGGGCAATTTTGAATATCTTTGACAACCTGCCCCTTGGAAAAT